GTTTTATACCTATGCCATTTATTCCCTCTTTTATTGTTTTGATGTTGTTGTCATTTACTGATTAACTGCTCTGATTCCCTGCTGTATTTCTTTTGGTTTTGGATAGTCCTCGAGAGTTCATTTCCTAGATTGGTATCTGGCTGGTATGATCCTGAGTCCTAGATTCTGCCTGTTAGCTGAAGCCATTTGTTCTCAGATCGAAGAACTCCCTTTAATAATTCTTGTAAGTTTGGTTTGACTCTTAAATATTCCCTTAATTTCTATTTGGAAATGACTTAATTTCACCATCAAATGTGAACAAGAGTTTTGCAGGATATATTATTCTTGGCTGGCAATTTTTTTCTTTCAAGATTTTATGTATGTCATCCCATTACCTTCTTGCCTGCATGGTTTCTGCTTAATAATCCGAGCTTAGTCTTATTGTTTCTCCTCTGTACGTGACTTCTTGTTTTTCACGAGCTGCTCTCAGGATTCTTTGTTTGTTTTGGTTTTGGCGAGTGTGATTATGATACGCCTTGGTGATTTTCTTTTGGAGTGTCTCCTATATGAGGTTAGTTGAGCTTCTTGGATGGCCAGCTTTTTGTCTTTCATGATATTGGAGAAGTTTTATGTCAGCAGTTCTTCAATGATCCTCTCTGTGTTTTCTCTTTCTTCCCCCATTCTGGAGTTCCAATCACTCGAAAATTTTTGCTTTTGATTGTATCCCACATAACTCTCAGGGTCTCTTGATTTTTTCTTTGTTCTTTTTTCTGAGTTTTCCTGAAACAGAGTTGTATCCAAGTGTTTGTGTTTAATTCCACTGATCCTATCTTCCACCATTTCAAATCTGCTTCTCATTCCTTCTATGACGCCATCCATTTCTGAAATCTTCTTGTTTATCTTTTGGATTTCTAATTGTTGTCTTTGTATAATTTCTAGTTGTGAATTTATTTTGGCAGTTTCTTCCTGCATTATTTTCCTGAATTCTTCCAATTTTTTGTCTATATTTTCCATGAATTTGTCTTTTTTTTCCTCATGTTTGTCAGCTTTTTGCTCAGCTCTTGGAGAATTCTGAGTATTAGAACTTTGAATTCCCTATCAGGTAGTTCTAGTGCATTTTCTTCTGCTGGAGAGTCATCTGGTGTTTTATTTTGGATGCCTACTGGAACCATCCTGTCCTGTTTTTGTAAATGTTTTGATATTGTCT